AAAATTCTCAGTCCACAGGGGAGACCTTTGGGCGCCTAGGCATTTATGTTGTAAACAGCTTGAGATTTCTGGCGACCCCTGTATCATGGTGACGGACTGGGGAGGTCACCCAGGACCGAGCTGTATGCTTGGATTCTGACTGAAGAGTGCACGGCTCTCTGTGTCTGGGTGACCTGCCCACTCAAAGCAGCTCAGCTCGGGCCTCACTACCTGTAGATGCTTGGGGTGACACTGACCAGGGGTCAAGTGACTCCAACCAAGGGCTGTCATTGCAAAGAAAGCCAGACTGGAAGCTGTGTGGCCCAGGGCAAGTCCCTCATCCCTCACAGCTCTGTATTCATATCAGTGAACGAGAACCAGACTCGTAGGTTGCTTGTCAAGGTAACAGAAGTTGACTTTTCTAAAAATTAGGGTTATCAGAGGCTGGGGGCGGGGGAGGGAATGGCTCAATCTGTAAAGTGCTTGCTGTGCAAGCTGCGGACCCGAGTTTGAGCCCCTGCCCCCCCACATCCTATATCCTGCACACCTGTAACCCTAGCACCAGGAGGTGGAGTCGGGCAGATAAACTCCTGGAACACTGGTCAGCCGTGACCTCCACATTCACTGGAGAGATCATCGCCAGAAAAGAAGATGGAAGAGTAGGAGAGGTGGCTCGGTGGTTAGAGCACTGGCTGCTCTTCCAGAGGACCCAGGTTCAGTTCCCAGCACCCACATAGAGGCTCACAACCATCTGTATCTCCAGTTCCAAGAGCTCTGGTGCCCTCTTTTGGCCTCTACAGGTACTGCATATGTGTTACAGACCGGTGCCCTCTTCTGGTCGCTACAGGTACTGCATGTGTGTGGCATACATGCAGGGGAAATACCCGCATATACAGAGTAAAAATAAATTAAGATCTCAAAAAGACATTAAAAGCAATAATGTGGAAGACAATACAGAAAGACATGATGTGGAACTCTTATTTCTATATGCATGTGTACACATTCATGAACATGTGCCCATGACACACACACATGCAAGCACACATACACACACACACACGTGCACATGCATATGCATGTGCATAGAAACAGCACATGATACACACATGCACACACATGCATACATGTGCACACACACAGTGTAGGAGCACGCACACACCAGCGGGGCCTTGTGCAGCTCCTGGCTTTCAGCAAGCTTTGATTTATCACTAGCTGTGTGACTTGGTGCTGACAAAGGTGTGCTACTGACAACTCTTCGCTTTTGAGTATCACCTCAGGGTCACCTCATTTATAGGGGATGCAGATCGCTCTCTGGGCTAGCATCTGCCCAGCTGTTTCCAGTGTTGGTCACTTAGAGGATCCCTTCCATAAAGGACCACCCATGGCCAAAGCTTACTCTCTAGTCTGGAAGTTACAGCCTTTGAACCTGAGGTGCTGTAGCCAAAGACTGGCCTGTGTGTGGGTCCCCACGCCTCTGGGTAGGGGACTGTCCATGCTGCAGCCTCCCTAGGGACCTGGTGTAGTCTTTCTACCACTTCTCTTGCTGTCTCCCAGTCCCCAGTTTGCAGTGGGTGTTCTCTGAAGGGCACTTTCTCAGTAAATCACTGGCCCCAGAAATCCACTTTGAATTCTTTCCAGAAATGAGAAAATTCATCTTAGAATTCACACAGAGGACACCAGAACACAAAACCCATAGACGCCTCAAGGGTATTGATTATTAAAATTAGTTTGTAAAAATAATTTTTAAAAAATAGTTGCTACAAAACTATGCGGGTCAAACCTGCGTGACACTTGCCTCAACACACAGTTCAGCATAGTACGAAGTCAGCGGAAGCCCTGGAACTGAGTGACTCTCCACACGGCCATAAACTGCCTAATGGAGAAAGGGCAGACGGGAACAGAGTGAACCCTAAACTTCTACTACCTGCAAAAGTCAACTCCAAGCTCATCAAAGACAAAACATTTAGCCCCAAAGAGGTAAAATCAAGGACTTAGAAATCTGTAAGGCTGTGTTTGTTGCAGCTTTCTCCACAATGAACAAAAGATGGGAAGCAGCCTAAGTCTCTGTCACCTGGCGAATGGTGAACAGACAAACTGCAGTATGTCCATACAATGGAATATTATTCAGCCTTTACAAAGGAGTGGGGAGCTGGGCTTGGGAATGGTTCGTTCAGGCCAGTTCTTAGCCATTCGGGAAGCTGAGGCAGGAGGATCACAAACTCAAGGCTAGCCTTGGCTATCGAGTGAGTTTAGGGCTAGCCTGGGTATCTTAGTGAGACTGACAATTTCAAAAGTAATAAGAGAGATAGGTGTATGTCAGTGATCCAATATTTGCCTCTTATGTACAAGGCCCTGGATTCGATTCTAAGGACTGAAAAAAAGCAGGACTATCATCTTACTGGTTCACTTCCTCTCTTGGGCACTCAGATTTGCAGAGACAGAGAATGACATCTGTTAGGTGATGGGGAGTCGGGGCTCAAGGGGACAGAATTTGAGATGAACCAGGCCGGGCAGCGGTGGCACATGCCTTTAATCCCAGCACTTGGGAGACAGAGGCAGGTGGATTTCTGAGTTCGAGGCCAGCCTGGTCTACAGAGTGAGTTCCAGGACAGTCAGGACTACACAGAGAAACCCTGTCTCGAAAAACAACAACAACAAAAAAGATGAACCAGGTCCAGAGATGGGGGCGTCGGCTGCAAGTACTCTTTATATGCTGCTGAACGGGACACTTAACCCTGTTAGGGTGGCCAGGGTCACGATACAGGCTCATCTTACATCAAAAACAAACAGAGTGGGGAAAAGAATAAAGAATCTGCGCTCTGGTTGTTCCGGAAAAGTCACCACAGCCCACACGTCATGATATAAACAGTCTCAGGGGTGGGGAGCAGTGACAGGCCCCTTTCTCAGGGGTTAAACTGAATACCAAGGCATGTATGACCAAGGAAGAGTCGCCTGTGAATGGGGGGGGACAAGTCCGCAGCATCAACTGAATGACTGCCCCCCCCCCCAGGACTGGCGGTATCTCATGGCTCGGCCCTCAAGAAATATTGAGTGGAAAGGAGAAAGGTGATTTCTGCATATTTTATACGCTTGAAATAGTTCTGCACAAAGAATTTTCCACACAGGTTTGGATGGAGTCCATGGCCGACCTGGGTAGGGGGTGTGGAGAGCCAGGCTTCTAATGTGCCTGGAACAGGAGACTTTGAACCACACAGATCCGGGCTAGAACCCTGGTTCCCTGCCTCTGGAGTTGTGTGTCCATGGGGATGTCACATGACTTCAGGGCCTCACTGTTCTTATCTGTAAAATGATGATATCGGCAACCTCACAGGTTGGCCATGCAAACCGAGCAGGCAGAAAATGCCAGCCAGGCTTTGCAAAGCACGCTGGTCCCACACTATCCACGGAATGCCGGAGACAGAACTGTTAGACGCAGGCTTCAATTTAGCCACCCCACCCTGCCCTTGGTGCCCCTTCCAGCACAGCGTAGCTAAGGATGCAGATTCTGGCTGTCCTCACGTCCTTGTAATCCGGCATGTGTGCATTCAGAGGCTTCCCAAGCGGGACAACTTCCTTCCACTTCTAAAAGAAAACACAGTCCGTGCCTGACCACGGTGCGTCTCAGAGCTGAGAGCTGAAGACTTGGACACCACAAGACAGTCAGTTGGGAGAGCACTCGCCTAACGTGTGAGACCCCTGGGTTTGAGTCTCAGCATAGATAGAGCATTATGTCACATGCAGAACACCCCAGAGCTCAGAAGGTAGAGGTTAGGAAATCTGAAGTTCAGGGTTGTCCTCAGATGTATGACGAATTCAGGGCCAGCCTGGGCTACATGAGACTGTATTAATAGCAATAATAATAACAACAATAAATCACCATCATGTTTGTTCTGAGCTTGCCCACACCGTCTGCCTCTTTAAACCACAGGTCCATTTGCTCTTCAGTCGCTCAGTTGGCCCCTCTGCTGTTTGTGATTTTTCAGTCACAGGCATGAGCCTCTCACTCTGCACGGCTCTCTCCCCCGAGCTGGGAGGTCGAGCTCAGGACTATTGGTGCTGTGACCTCTGACCTGGGCCAGCTGACAGCAGAGGCTGTAAGGGGAGGACTGAAGCTCTGAGCTTCAGATGAAGAAACAGCTTCTCAGAGAAGCCACATCTCCCCCCTAGAGAGACAAGAGATAGCCTAGTCTGGACCAGGGGTGGTTGAGGCACAGCTGTGATGTGCATAGAGGCTGAGGTGGGGGTGGGATCTGAAGTTCAAGTCCAGCCCGGGCTACATAGTGAGACCCTGTCTTTATAAGAACGGAGGGAGGAAGGGCGGGCAGGAGGGAGGGAGACAGGGAAGATACATAGTTTGAGGAGTGAGTGGGCACAGCGTGGAGTTCTGTGGAGTCTCAAACGCCTTCATGGCCGGACGAATAGGCAAAGTGGGGAGTGAGGAGAAGCCCAGGAACATGGAGTCAAGAGCTGGAGGCCATTTTAGAGAAAAGGACAGTAAGGTCAGGACACAGTTATGTTCCCATCACGGTCGAGAGACCTGGGCACATGGGTTTTAGTGTGAATTCTCCTAATTTAAAGTTTTGGGTCCCTTTAGATCAATGCTGAGCCCAAACAGAGCGACTTCCCTGCAGATGCTCTAGGTGTGACCCAGTCCTTACCCGTGTCACAGACAGGGGTTAAAGACCCAAACAAGTGGCCCCACACTGTGCCAAGACACACCTCGAGGCGACCCTCTGAGACACATAAGGCAGTTGACTCTCGAGGATAGGTGACCTCGTCACGGTCTGTCTGTGTAAATACGCACTCTGACGTCCCCACCACTAGGAAACGGCCAACCGATGCATTCTGGGAACCGTAAGGCAATGGGTGACCCTGTGTCACAACAGAACCCAGGCCTAGAACAAAGGCACAGCCGTGCACATGAGAATCCCGGCTCCCAGTTCTGTGCAGAGCCCAACTGTCCAACTGTCAACTGATCAGAACCCCAACACCCCACCCCCCACCAACCAAATTCAACGTCAATGCCAGGTCTACCCGCCCAGAGCTCCGGACGGTGAGAAAAGCCCATTACCTGCCTCAGGTGGGGAAGTCCTGCAGCCAGGCCATCGGGAGCACACCCTGGCCATCCCGATCACATCTGTTTCTGTCTCCAGGGTGGTGAAATTCCGCCGGACAGGAGAGAGCGCTCGGTCAGAGGATGACGCGGCTTCCGGGGAACATGACGTTCAGATCGAGGGGGTCCGAGTGGGCCTAGAAGCCGTGGAGCTGGATGATGGAGCAGCTGTTCCCAAGGAGTTTGCCAATCCCACTGATGGTGAGAAAGCCCGGCGGTCCAGGCATAGATCGGCCTTGGGTTGCAGGCCTCGGTAATGGTCGTAGAAAGTTCTTGAGAAGGGGCGGTTGGGATGGCTCAGAGTACCGAAGGGTGACACGGAAGTGGAGGCTGGAACTTCAGGAGGTCCAGTGACATCACAATCCATGACAGTTGCATCAGTGAACGCTTGGCTGAGAAGGGCAACAGCGATGCTGATACTGATGATGGTGATGGTGGTGAGGATGATGATGTGTCATAGTTATGATGTTAGTTCTCATGGCAGCGCATGCTACAGTTAACTAGCCCATCTGGGGACCACCCCAGATGCCACACTATGACAAATACAAGATATGCTGTTGATCCCTCTCCTCCCCCTTTTCCTTCCCAGACACTTTCATGGTGGAAGATGCGGTGGAAGCCATTGGGTTTGGAAGATTCCAATGGAAGCTTTCTGTCCTCACTGGCTTGGCTTGGGTAAATAAATATCTGGGCACAACGCCTCGAGTACCCCAAGGACCCCCTGCTGTTAAGATGGGTCCCACAGACACACGGGTAACACAGGTTTTCCTCCACATATAACTTCTGCCTGAATGCCAGTCAGCAAAGCTGATGTGTGGTGATGGCCCAGGTGCATGCTGGGAGGAAGGTCGATGTGGCTGACCGATCCCCCAGGGAGCATCCGGCTATGGAAGTGGATTGGAAACTCAGGGCTCCTGTGAGGTCAGGGCTTCGGGTTCATATCCCCGCTCAGGGAAACAGACACAGGAAACATTTGCTATCTGGGCCTGGAGTATAATTCCACGTTAAGGCCCTGGGGGCTCCACCCCCAGCATTGAAAAGAGTAAAATAAAATAATGTGTCCTGATCCAAGGTGTTCACAGCCCTCACTAAGGACCCCTTAGCCACGATCCAAAGCACACAGACCTTTAATCCAGCTACAGCTGCTTCTCTGAGTGGGATTCGAGACGTGACCTAAGCACGTGTTTTTCTAACCGGACCCCACTTTCGCCACCATTATTTTCACCAGGTGGAAGCAGACCTTTACTGGGTGCCACGCTCCACGGCCTGTGTGTGGAGCTCAGATTTCTAACTTTCCAGGATTCTGTCTAGTTATAAAGTAGCAACGAGGCATTTAGTAACTGGGGCTCTGTCACATGTGCTAATATATTCAAACATTGTGTTCGTTAAGTGTCATTAAATATGCAGACAGTTCTCCACGAACACATGATGAGCCACCCAAAGACAAAGGGCCACACTGTCCTGCCTCTGGGGAAAACGTGTGCTCAGTTTTTAGACACGCGATGCTCTCTCGTTTCATCTGGGGGAGCACATCTACATTGTTTGTGCACTCATGTGTGAATGTGTGCGCGTTGTGTGTGTGTGTGTGTGTGTGTATGTGTGAGTGTGTACATGTTGTATATGCCCAGGTGTGTATGTGTGTATGTGTGTACGAGTGTGTATGTGTGAGTGTGTGCATGTGTGCATGTTGTACATGCGTGTGTGTGTGTGT